ATGTGGGGGAGCATGTGTGAGAGGGGCAGGGCAGCTCTTCAACCCAGCTTCCTACAATTCCCAGTCAGGCTGCAGCAACCTCTCAGTAGATCATGTCCCTGGAGGCAGAGGGGGATTGCAGCTGGCCAGGATGTCCCAGGCCTCTATATCATGGCAGCCCTGCAATCACGGCCATTGCCATCTTAAGTGCCTCCTTCCCCCCTGCCTTGCTCCAAGTCCTTGTGAGCTTACAAACCCCTCAGGCAGCCATGTGCCAACTCCATTGTAGGCAACGATGTGGGCAGACCTCAGCCTTGGCGCCAGAAGGGCCAAGCAGCCGAGCAGTGTTCTCTCCACCCCCGCCCCGGCATCCACAGCAGCCCACTACGCATGATGACTCTGTGCCTCTGAGCCACTTGCAGAAGGTGTCCCCCAGGGGGCTGCACAGACTGTGGCAGCTGCGCTCCGGCACTGGCAGGAAACACCTGCATGTGTGCTGCCTCCCCACTCCCCGCCTGCCTCACTTGCAGCCAGTTGGAGCAGAAGCCCCTGCACTGCGAGGAGCTGCAATCTGCCCTGGGCATTTCCTCACAATGGTGAGAGACCTGACCTCTCCCCACGGTGCCAGAGAAGGGAGGGGGACCCTGGGAGTGGTGGAGGTGGCAGGAGGGGCTGTGGATGAGGAGCAGGCTCCCCTGTGGCAGGAGGACGGTGGGTCACTTTCTTCTGGGGTACCAGGCTGGGCCAGGTATGCTGGGGGAGAAGGGGGCGCAGGAGTCTTAGCCATGTCTCTTGCACATGGCGCCAGTCTGCTAGCACTTGGCATCCAGCGTGGCTGAGGTGGGCATTTCCCTTACCCCACAGGTGCTCCTGACAGGGCTGGGGAACACCCTCCCACTTCATTCTTCATTGGGCAGGTTCTGGAAGAGGCAGGGGTATGGGGTGGGGCCCCCAGTTCTCCCCCACAGCTGGCCACTCCCAAAGTGTCTGCACACCCCAACTCGGGGAAGATGCCGCAGGGGCCTGAGCTGGAGTTGAACCTCTGGTTGGGGGGTGGGAGGACTACAGGGCAGAGTCACCCCCATCATACTAGGCTCATCTTCTGGTGCATGGTGACCCGGTTGGTGCAGGGGTGCATCCCACTGCTTTCCCCATCCCCAAATGGCAGAGGGGATCTGCTCTGTAGGTAGGAGCTGCCTCCCATTCCGCCCGCTCTCTGTACTCAAGCACCAGCAAACCCACCGGTGCAGAGACACGGGAATCCATTCCCACCCCCCGCCAAAAGCAAGGGCCCTGCTGCCACACATGGCTTCCACCCCATCTCCTCCCTTCCATGGCTGCCTTGTGCCCTGCATACCCCATCCTCTTTGACTGCCTCCCCCAACATATCCCCGCTGTTTGGTTTCAGCCACTTCCGCCCCTTCTCCATTACACCCGTCTTCACCTGTAGTTTGGCCCTACCCAATCCCAGAGGGGGATGCTTGGGAGAGGATTAAGAGAACAGGAAGAAGCTTGGAACAGGACAGGAAGAGTGCTCCATGGTTTGAGTTCAGCACTGTCCTGGCGCTGAATATAACTAACAAGGGTGGGTGGTGGAGAAGGGGGGGGTCAGCTCTGCTGGGGGATCTGAGCCCCTTCTCCCATGGGTGGCATAAGGAGAGGCAGGGGACTGGGATGGAGCAGGCTTCTCATCAGCACTGTGGGCTGTCTCAGGAAGGGGCATTGTCACACTGCGGGCACTGGCAACAGGGCAGGAGTGTGAATGCCAGGCCTGGGTGGGAATTGTTCCTGGAGCACAGCACTGAGCACAGCTGGGGCTGAAGTTCTGAACCCCCGAATTCACAGGAGTAGGTGTGAACTCAGGCCAGGCCTGCCTGGCTACACATAAAGCGCTGGACTTTGGCCTGCAGGCACTCAGGGGGGACAGCCTACACTTAGCCTCTGCTTCCTGGTATGTAGAGGTCAAAGATGAGCAGGTCTCCCTGGCCAGGGTGGATATGGGACCTTACAGGGCTGCAGCCACCCCAGGACCACATCCTGGCTGGGCCCTAGCTTCTTGGCAAGTCTGCCCAGCCACAGCCCACCCTGTGGTCCCATCTCACCCCCATTTTTGCCCCATCCTGGCTCTGATCACCCCAGGGGCCCAGTGGGAGACAGATGAACTGGACTTGCTGCAAGAAGCCCCCTAGCCTCAGTCAAAGTGGATGCCCCTAGCCAGCACAGGGCAGGGAGGGGTAGAGGACTGAGGCAAAGGCTAGTTCCCCTGAGGCATATCCCACAGCCCTCCACCATTCCAGCCCTGGGGTCTCCCCCAGCTTTGCCAGTGCCCTTTGCTGACATCTGCTTGGACCGTAACATGGAGCTGAAGCAGAGGCTGGCTGCCAGGTAGGAACTGGCATCACAGACAAGGCTGGTGGGAACCAGAGACAACCTGACACTTCCTGGTTTTAAATGGGGCTACTTTAATGGAATCACAAAGCCCCTTTGCCCATGAGTAGGGGTCAGCCTTGCTCTTATTCTCTTTCACCCCACTGCTAATGGGTACATCCCTGCCCCATCCAGTATCTATCCAGGGCAGTGCGGAGCCAGGTAAATCTTGCTAGGAGAGAGAGGAAACTTTTTACCAAATAAGCCCACTGCAGCACAGGCTGCGAGTGACCTGCCCTGCCCTACCCTCTCCATAAGACTCAAAGTCATCTACCTCCCCCTGGAAGCCACCCCTAATGAGTGCACTAAACCTCCCCTGCAGAGAAAGCTCTCCAGGGGATGTAGGATTCCATAACTCAGCACCAAGCAACACCAGCATCCAGTGGCAGGCCCCAGCCCTGAGAGGATGTGGTCCCCCAGGGTAGAGACTGCAATGCTTAGTTTCTTACAGCTCGGGGCTCTAGCTGGCTGCTCACACCAGTGTTTGGAGTTACTGTTCAGCCTCCTGCTTTAGCTACCAGCACAGAGGCACAGGGGTTTGGATGAGTCTCTGCTGGGCCCTGCTATTGTTGCAGAGCTGCCTCTCACACTTTTGAGGCTGGTGATAGCAACGGCAGCTGACCACAGCTTCCTGTCAGCTAGCCCAGCAGGCGGCAGAAACCCGCGCCCACGGGTGCTGGGAGCCAGGCATGACAGGTACAAGCTTATGGCCCATGTTCGCTGCTACCCAGTAGTGCAAACAAGTGACACCACACAGCAGTCTTAGCCCCTGAGGACAGCAGACATAAGAACCCTCATTGGCCCAAGAGCAGGTGCAGGCGCTATGAAGACGCTTAACAGAAACAGCCCCTTCCACTGTATGACATAGGGCTTTGCGAGTAGGGAAAACCCAAGACCCAAGCATAACCCATACCCTCTCCCCTGATGGCCCCCTGCTCTACCAGCTCTGGACTTCTCCTCTCCCTCCCCCCACCCAACTCTGCTGCTGCTCACATGCACAGGCCTGCACTGAGCTTGCATGCTGATAAACCACCCTGCTTTCTCTGAAGCCTTTAGCTAAGGAGTTTAGCCTGCACTGTCAATTCAGGCTCAGTTCAGAGCAGCCAAGGCACCAGTTCTGAGCCACAACCACCTGCAGCAGCTGTCAGCACAGAACAGTTTGGGGGAGACACTCAAGGACAAAGTTAGCAAGAGGAAGATTCTTTCTGCTGACAGGCCAAGCCAAGGATGTTTTCTAGCTGGGATAAAACAGCAGGGACCTACAGGGGCAGGGAATTAATTCTATACAGCCCAGTGCTTGTTAGGCTACTGTAAGGAGCTGGTGACATACTGGGGTCACTCCATCCACATGCTCGCCCCAACCTGCCTGCAGTTTAACTGCAACCCAACAAGAACAGCAGTCCCTACGTCCTTTAGCAGCCAGGCGGGACACACATGCATTACTTCTGCCACCTGTAGGCGGATCTGTGCCTGGTGCTCTCAGGCCCTGGGGAAAGATACAGCGTGGAAAGTCCTAGGCCAGGACGACAGACTGCTTGCTCAAAAGGGCAGGGAAGGTGTGTGTGTGGCAGGGGGAGGGGGTGTACAGGGCTGGGAAAGTTGCCAGCAGGTGCTAAGGAAGGGAAGGGAAGGGAAGGGAGAGGGGTGGGGTGGCCCTTGGCACAGTGCCCAAGAAGTACAAGGCTCTGGGCACACCTCTGCCAATTGGCACCTAACCCCACTCCCATTTCCACCCTGCAGGGGCTGCGGCCGTGGGGAGCATTGCTCCTGTTGCTGCCAGGCATTGTGCTGGGCTCCAACCAGAATGGGGATCGGGACTCCATCACTGTGGTCCTCCTGGTCCTCTTCCTACTGCTACTGCTCCTGGTGCTGGCCTTGGCCTGGCACAAGCTGAGCAAGGACTCGGATGGCAAGTACCACCCCAAGCACCTTTGTCAGCCCTGCCGGGCACTGGCAGCACTGAGGGTGCGCTGGCAGGCATTGCGAGGGAGGTCTTCCTCCATGCAAGGCTGGCAGGAGGAGTATGATGATGATGAGGAGGAGGAAGAGAAGGAGGAAGAGGAAGAGGAACAACAGAAGCTGTGTGACATGGAGGAAGGCAGAGGAAGGCAGGAGCAGCACAGCCAGGAAGAGGAACAGGATGAGAAGGAGGAGGAAGAGGACGAGGACAAGGACGCGGACACCATCCCAGCATTTCCTGAGACCCCTGAAGGATCACAGGAGGCCGTGTGTGTCACAGAGGGGGGTAACGCTGAAGCCCTGCTCAGCAACCTGCACTCCTTCTCTGGCACAGCCACCTGGGAAGACAGCCCTGGGGAGGGGGCCAAAAACCAACATGTCACCGCCCTCTAGGAGCAGCTAAGGAAAGGGCATGCATGAACTCTGCCAGGGGATCCAGGGGTGCTTCTCTGGAGCACCGGAAGTCCGTCCCCACTCCACAACGCTGCCGGCTCTACAGGGCTCTAACAGATTGCACCCCTCCCTCACCACTCCTCTCTCCAGAGACTCCTTGCTCCCTGCATCCCCCAAAAGTGTAGCTTGCTCTGCTCATTTCAGTGCCAGGGAACCCTACCCCCTGCCCTGACTGGCACTGCCTGCAGTCTGTGCAGAGGAAAATGGTGCAGCCTCGTGGGATACTGGGGCGGGGGGAGAGGGCAAGGATCTGCATACACGGTGGGATTGGCTGTACAGGCAATGCGGCTCTGTTGTGGGCACTAATAAATGGGTGACACTGCCCACAGTATGGCAGCCTCTGCCCCTTCATCTGTATGGGAAGAAGGTGTGTCAAGGGTTGGGATTAAAAGGAGGTGGAGAAGCCTGAGTACCCACGCCTTGGTAAGGGAAAAGAACAGGGACCCTGGCCCTGTTGTCACCTCCCTATCCCAAAGAAAGGTGGGAGCACAGTATGAGCACAGAAGGGACCTCCTCCAACAACTCACACGCAACACCTAGTATTGCCAGTGACCCACAACCCACACACCTGAAATGAAGGGCAGGCCAGACTCCAGCCTGATCCAGTCTTTAATTGGCACAGATACAGCAGCAGCGGCAACAGCAGCAAGGGCCCTGCTACCACACTCAGGGGGCTTGCCAGCCCCAATAGACATTTCCCCCATCCCCCAGCCAGGGCACCCTCCCCACCCAGGGGCAGGCACAATGTAGCCACCCCTTGAATGCCGA